GGTTCACTCTTTCCTTTCCTAGGTCTGCTAAGTATTCAGTAACTAGTGTTCTGCAGTCACGCGTAACCTTCTGTTAAACAATACTGTTCTGCGGACTCTTTCACCTTTCCGTTCCCTCACCTTTTTCTACTTGGGAATAGATTAACTGAAAACCAATGTCAGAGTCCGAGAGCAATTTTTAATTTTCAGCAGGGGCCAGGACTCCCTGGCGCGCGTCCTGGCCAATGAAGACCGCGCACCAGGGAGGTGTAAACGTACCTGCTGTTGTTAAAGTGTTGATTGGTTGCTGTGGTCCCTTAGCACTGGGCCCACTTCACTGTACAGAGTTCTTTCACTCCTTCTTTTTGCTCTTGCTCTTCTCTCGCTTTCGTTTCTTCTAGAAGTTTGTTAGGTTGTAAGATCCCCCTTTATTGTTGGGTTGGATGCTTTTGGATGCATTTTATAAACTTTGGGCCCTATAAAATGCTCAGAGAGAGAGAGTGGATTTTCTATAAAATGCCAAATTGAGCAAAAAGCATCCAAACTATAAAATGGGGAAGGTGGATTCTGAACATTGAGCAGCAAAAATTGCGAAAACAAACAGCAGGCCTATATAATGCCCATGATGGGTTCACCATAGAAAATATACCAAAAAACACTCTGTCTATATAATGCGACGCGTGGGTGCAAGCACAAAAAAAGGCGAACGGCAAGCCACAATTTCCAAAACTATGAGCTGCCAAGACAAAAGTCGGACAAGACAGGACATGAAGGGAAGACATGAAGGGGACGGAAACCGCTCCCGGGGCACCGTTCCCTCCCCCGTTGCGGGGCGCAGCCGAAAGGTCAACCGCTCTCTCCCCTTAAGGGAGGAGACACAGAGACAGGGGGAGAGAAAAAGTAGAAAAAGTAATTGTTAATTGGTAAATATTTGGCGGATCATATTCCTTCAGTTCCTTTCTTCCATTGATGTTTAGAGTTTGGACATTGCCCCGGCCCACTAACAGTGAGCACAAAGATGGGCACCACCAACCAAGCGCACGAGAAAATTGGACCCCAAAAGCGGGTTTCTAAATTTGAAAAGTCATCTACCTAAACTGAATAGTCCCATTATATGTTGGCAGCACCTTTTTCTCCTTCATACCTTTGCCACTGGTCCACTGCTTTGGTGCTCTACATGGCACACTCTTGTGCCCAAGCCAACAAAGCCTTGCAAGGCTGCGCGCCCTGGTCTTCTCCAAGCCTTTCTTGAACCTGGGTTGGGGCTGGCTTGCTCTGGGGAGGTCCGCTAGCAAAGTAAAAGTCCGGCTAGGGCTGGGCCTGGGGCTGGCTGGGCTGGGCTGGCTTGCTCTGGGGAGGTCCACTAGCAAAGTAAATGTCCGGCTAGGGCTGGGCCTGGCGCTGGCTGGGCTGGGGCTGGCTGGGCCGGGGCTGGCTTGCTCTGGCGGCTGGGGCCAACTAAAGTAAATGTCCGGCCCCGGTCAAATTTTGGCTCCGGAGTTGTGCTTTTCTGGCGCTCCTCCAGGCTCCGGAGTTATGCTTTTCCGGCGCCAAAAAGCACGAGAAAAAGCACGAGAAAAGGCACCAAAAAAGCACAAGAAAAGGCACCAAAAAAGCACGAGAAAAGGCA